CTGCTGCTGCTGCTGCTGCTGCTGCTGCTGCTGCTGCTGCTGCTGCTGCTGCTGCTGCTGTTGTTATAAATTTATTGGCTGCTCAACTCCACTGGAATCTGGGCCGAGTACAAAAACTAGAAAAAAACATAACAGCAGCCAAAAACATAAAATCAGACAGACAGCCCAGACTAAAATGATCCAATAAACAGCCAAATCAACAAAACAAAAATAACAATAAACCCCAACTCCAGGCCTGGGACCAAAGCCAGGTTTTCAAAGCTAGGAGAGAGAGCACTGCCCTTGCTGTTCCAGAGGGTGGGGGCCACAACAGAGAAGGCACACTTCCTAGGTCCCACAAGATGTTTAATGGAGGGGACCTGGAGCACACCCACTCTGCTGGAATGCACTGGGCAGGCAGAAACTATTGGAGGCAAGCGGTCTCTCAGATATCCAGGCCCTATGCCATACAGGGCTTTGTAGAGGTAATAACCAGCACTTGAGTTGCACTCAGAAGCCGACTGGTGGCCAATGCAGCTCTTGTAGCAGTGGTGACCCATGGGTACACCAAGAGGAGCCCATTACTACTCACGCCGCTGCATTTTGAACCAGCTGTAGCTTCCAGGTAGTCTTCAAGGACAGTCCCATGAAGAGCACATTGCAATAATCCAATTGTGAGGTGACCAAGGCATGAGTAACTGTCTGAAGGACCTTCTGATGGAGGAAAGGCACAACTGGCGCAAAGGTGAACCTGTGCAAAGGCCCTCCTGGCCACAGCTGCCACCTGCTCTTTGAGCAGTAGCTATGAGTCCAGAAGGACCCCCAAGTTGCACACCAGTCTTGAATGCAGAAATGCAGCCGCATCCAAGACCAAGGATGGTAACATCCCCGACTCTGGGGGTCCAAACAGCCACAGCCAAGAAATCGCTGTAACAGAGCCAGAAGTTATTAGAAGTGAAGAAGGTTTGTAGGAATCTGCCAGAGAAGATTCCTTCTCTTTGGCATGGTATTTGTTACTGGAGCACATAGGCAAGGGTATAGTGGTTTTCAGGAGGACAAGCCCCTCAGTTCACCCAGGCCACATGTGCATACTGAGCCAATGAGTCCAGGTTTATGCTACTGATCTTAAAAACTAGCTCAGAATCATTTGACTTTTTGAAACAATTCTTTTAGTTTCTGTTCTTCTCCCCTTCCTTATTTCTCTGTTAAATTATTGTAGGAGAAGAGGCGAAAGGGTTTCAGTCTCATTAAGGCCCATCTTGAATGAGCCTTGCTGTCGTGGGGTGAGAGTTGAAGAGGCTTAGCCGCTCTTGTCTCCTGTTGCAGGCTCAGTAAACCTAGCAACTGCTAAGAGTTTGAACAACTTTGATGACTGCTTATTTCTACAGTAGATTTTGAAGTGATGTTCTGCTTCTCCTTTTTGTATGGTCTAACTTACTAACAGCAACCAAACAGGGACCTAGGGACAGGTCATGACACTGAAAATTTTTAACTCCTGTCACAAGTCAAGGAACAAAGCAGCTCTTACCATGCACTTGTCTATTCTAAATAGCGTAACAGGCAGATGGTGAAAAAAACTTTGTTGTTGATCCAGTGAAAGTGTCAACTATTGAAGATGTAAGTTAGCATGCCCCAGCCCCAGTGTGAAATGTTTTGGTGGAAGTTGTTCTGGGTCAGTTTCCTAAGTATGCACTAAATATTCTGAAGCTGAAATATCCTGTTATGAATCCAACCACACTGGAAGAGTTTCACTGCCAGAACAGCTACTTCCTCATGAATCAAACCAAGTGCTTAATGTGATTTCTAAGTGCCTAAGATGGCATTTAAAAAAGAAAAAAGGGCAAGGCAATGTCCATTGTAGATGCATCACACAAATATAAATCTAGAAGAAGGAGGATTAAACATCAAACTTTTCTCCCCAGAGTTTTTTTCCACTTCATGATGTTTATTTCTCCATTTCTCAAGAAGGAGCTGTATTGATAGCTATCATGGAAGAGTCACTTGGTTGAGATGGGTGGCTCAAAATAAACAGTCTAAAATGTTCCTTTTGCCCTGTTACCCCAAGAAGTTCATGACCATGCATACTAATGTCCTTGGCTGAAAAGCCAACTTAGGAGAATGAAGGCACTTAGAACTGTTTGAAAAATGGAAGAGGATTAACTGAGCAGAACTCAAAGCCATCTTCCTGATAATACAGATTGTCCAAAATTCTGTCAGTACTCATGAATAGTACCATGGCGTAGGTAAACAAGAAGACAAGGGAATTTCAAAAGGATATCAGGATACAAAAAACTCTGAATTACTTACTGACCCATATGCTTATGATTTCTGAACTTTACATATCAAAATTTTATGAGAGTTCCTTCCTTGAGTGATCTTTTGACACAGAGTTCAGTACTACATTCAGCAACCTTCCACTGATGACTTGGAAGTCTGAGAGGCAATGACTCTCAACAGCAGGCTGTTTAGTTAAAGGTCCTTGATATTGTCATCTGTTCCAGACATCAGTCGACTAATGATAGCTAAATCCAAGAGAATGGCAACTTGCAGTGCAGGCTGAAAGCCTGGAGGGCAGGTGAAAGGCATCCTGGTTTGACTTAACATTTTCACTTTGCCCTATCTACCATTCCCTTCTCTGGGGAAAAAAAAAAAGTTTGGCCTTAAGGGGATGTAGGCAACATTATTGTCCTGGCTCCTGGAAACAGTGGCAGGCTTTGCTTGGGGTATGCTTAGTACCCAGTCATTTGCAGTTTTCCATCGCAGAGTTGCATTTAAGTCAGGATGACAGGTGGGAAGGGTGACACCAGAGAGATTCTTCCCCTTGAGAAAATGAGGTGGCCAGGCTCTTTGGCTTTCAAGGGGATAAATATGAGCTGTTTGGAGTACACTCATCTAGGTGAGAATTTTCCAGAAGCATGCTGAGAGCTGGGCCAGGAAAACAGTGCCTCAGGTAAAAATGAAGACTTGTTCCTAAGTACTGCTCAGTGGGTTTTTTTCTCTCTCTCAAGGTGCGGTTGCCTATAGAATTGGGAGGGAGGGGATTCACATATGTGCTTGGGAGTGGGGAAAGGTGCCTGGACTGGAAATGGGTAGGCATATCCACCAACTGGGAATAAAGTGACATAGTGCAGTTGTATCAAGATTTGATCATATGTTCATATCTTGATATGTTAATGATTCCACAATGTTTGAGCTGGGAAACAATCTTTGTTAATATACCAAGACTTAAAATTACATGATCAAATCCTGTCACAATTGCATTATGACACTTTGTTCCCAGTTAGCCAAAATAAAAGCTTTAAAACTAGGCATTTTCAAAAGAGTTGAGAGAATAGAATGCAAGCTTTGTTAGTCTGCTTGCTTTTTTTACAGGTAAAACTATATTTAACAATAATACAGCCTATACAGATTTTTTATTTATATATTTTTATATATATATATATATAAATATATTCATTTTCCTCTTTTAAAAGATACAGCCACAGTACTCTGTGCTTGTTTTATTTTTTTAGTCTTACTATAATCCTTTTATTTTAATTAAAGCAAAATTGTATTTTCAAAAAAAGATATCTGTGAATGAACAGATAAC